CCCTTCATCATCTTTTTCGAGGAGTAACTAAGTAAGATATCACTAGATACGAATGCACCTGCAATATAAGAAGTTGGACTGGACCTATTCGGCCGTACCAAGTGGAGAGCGAATTAAATTAAAATGAGACAATAATCACAATAATGTGGGCGAAATGCATGGGTTGAATGGGCACAGTTGTGTGATACACTTTTATATCGTAGCCGAATTGATCTGATGCACTCCCCATTTGGGGAAATTTACATCAAATAATTGTACACACTTGTAAGAAATTGTACACACTTAATTGTAAGAAGAAATTCCGTATAGTTGTTATGATTAAAAAAAAAGTATAATAGATATTTACCGAATGTTTCTCTTAAGTTAATATTGATTACCAGGATTCATGCCGGATTTCTCATCATCAAGGGGTACGTCCGCAGGAACACTTTTTCTTCATTACACCTATTAAGGCTCAAATTTATCACCGTCCAGAATCGGACTTAAAAACGTGCCGATGAATGGAAATGATGGCGATGGTTATGTAAGAAGATTGTTAAAAATATTGGAAGCGTTAGTTGAAAACACATCAAACACTCGTAAACATTTGCTGGCAAGAAACTGTTTTTATCAGTAACGTGAAGCCTGATTTAAATGGTAAATTTAGCTCAATATGCGATTTCCGATAGCAATGAACTAACAGGTCGACTGCATGCCATCTCAAAGACCGACTTACCAACGGTGCTTTGCCCATAACATAACATAACATAACATAGTGATGTCGGCGCTGAAGTGTAGGCCTGATGTGGCCTGTCGCCGATTCTTTTCCTTCTCGTGCTTTGTTCATAGATCTAAACCTGTCTCTTATACACATCTAGATGTGTATAAGAGACAGCAATGGNTTGAATGAGAATTCCGTAAAATGTTTCCATAGGATTTACTTCGTTTTCCAGCTCATGCTTGTGTTTTTGCTGCTCGTCATGAGCGGCAAATAAATATTTCAGAGCTGCACGGTGAGAAGGAGGCCTTCCCAGGGAGAATACACCATCTTCAGACACCATATTCATCATTAGCAACTTATTTGCTCACTAAAGTGAGGGAAGGTGAAGTGGTGGGTGGATTTTATTCAGGTTTGGGCTTGAGCGACAAATTTGGGGCCTTATCCATTAGGACGCATAGATCAAATGTAATCTTTCATGCATATGGTATTTTCTGTTAACAACAGGCATTGGTGCATTTGAATGTTGGCTGCTTGACAGCTTTGGTCGTTCCCAGGCATAGTCGTTTTTATATTTTATTGGATGATTTACTCGCATGTTTTTCCGTTCCATTGGTTCGTTCCATATATTTAGTTTAGTTTCCGCTCATATGAGTTTTCTCTAGAAGTTCTTAAAAAACTCAGATATTTATAGCAATTTGTTATCAAAATTCATGAGTTTGACTAGAGGATTTTTTTAGTAATTATTCCTCATGTCAACTGTAATGGAATAGCTCACTTCATAGCGCCGAACATATTTACAGCTATTTGAAGTGCCTATAGCTCATTGATAATTGCTCACAGGTAATAGGCATAATTATTGAAAAATAATTTAAATAAATATCATAGTGATTGTTCAACTAACATGCGCGGGTTATACGTGGCCGATGGATTAGATCAAAAATTTATTTACACTATTTCGATTTAAAACTTCACTATAAATAAATCAAAAATTCGGTTTTTTATTAAATTATTCAAATACTACATCATCTTGACGGAAATTCTTCAGTACTATGGATTTCAAAAGTAATAGGTCATATTAATGGACTTATTTCTGTTCCAATGGAATAAAGCGTTAAGTAAATCGATAATTTATTTTGATGCAAATAAATAATCGGAAACATATATACGGTTTTCTGGCTTTATGGATATTTACGCTGTTTTCGGATGAAAATGAAGCAGGATTTGTGTTAAAACAGTTTTTCCTGCTGAATCTTGCACAAATTGCCGGCTTTATTTATAGCTGCATCATAGATACGCAGCTCAGAGACACAATCAGTTGCAATCTCTTCAGAGCGTTCAAAAATATTTAGTTAGACACAAATACCAATAACGTTAAAGTGAGCGAGTGATTTTGTCATATGACAAGAAATACTGAGCACTTCAGAATAAATTATCGTCATTACTTATTTTGAGGAATAGCTAAACAAGGTATCACCTGGCGCGAATGCATTTACAATGTAATAGGTTGGACTATAGACCGATTCGTTCGTACCAAGTGAATATTGAAAGAAATTATAAGGAGGCAATATTCACAATGATGAGGGCGAAATTTGTGGGTGAAATGGCACAATAGCGCGATACTTTTCCAAATCGTAGCCAAATTGATCTATTGCACACCAGATAACTGAAAATTTACATCAAATATTTGAACAAACTTGGAAAAAATCCCGTATAGTTGTTATACTTTTCGGAATATTCAAATGGATATAAAACGAATAATTCCTGTAAGTAGAATGTAAGTATATTTTGATTAGGAATACCACAGGAATACTTTTTCCACACACATCCACGGGATCCACAGGAATACTTTTTCTTCATTAAACCTCTTCAGGCTCGAATTTATCTCTGTTCAGAATCGGACTTAGAAACCTGCCGATGAATGGAATGATGGCGATGTTTACGTACGAAAATTGTTGTAAGAATCCCTATCAAAATTTTGAGTTGGTGACGACCCTGAATTAGGAACATCCTGGGACTCGGACCGCTTCTAAATCAGCTTCTCTATGTCCGCTTCGGCTCAGAGTTCTAAGGGCAGCCTCTGGGCAGCTTGCAAGCTCGGTATGACTCGGCTCGGCCTCCTCTTCTCATACTCTGGGGCGACTATAAAGTCGGAAAGGAGATTCTGACCGGAAACTGATTACGATCGGATAGCCAAGCAGACCCAGAATAACTGCGCCGAGTGTAACAACTATTCGGCCGAACCCTAAGCGGTCCCCGAATCTTGTTAGGGATATTAGAAGCGTTTGATAAAAACTTGTTACACATTCTTATACATTTGCAAGTAGAAACCGTTTTTATTAGTCAGGTAAAGACTAAATTAAATAGCATATTAAGCTCAATGTGTGAATTGCCGATTAGAAATGAACTAACAGGTCGTCTGCCATCTCAAAGATTGGCTTGCCAACGGCGCCTCGCCCATCGATATGACTTGTTATGTTACCATCAAAAAATGTATTTTCCCGAATTTATTATTATGTTTTCAGTAATACATAGAATTCGATCACGTTCAATCGAGATTGGAAAAGAAGTAATTAGAAAATAAAAATGATGTGAAATCTGTTGATTGGCTAGCTGCCCAGTCAATCAGGTTTTGATCGATCGACACAGATTGATGTGGTTCGATCAAGAATATTAATGCAGATTCCTGCTCGATCGACGAAGGCAAAACCCAATTTAGAGTCGAGAAGTAGGGGGGCAATGTCGCGGGGCGCAGCACCGATTAAAGAGGAGCATTCTATGCCGATTCTGTGAAGATCTTCAAAGTTTCTGCTCCCGATAATTTGTCGAGTCGAATAATCTGCATCGAACGATGTCGAATCTACAGTAGCTGAAGCCGAATCTGCATTAATCTATGTCGAATCACCATTGATCTACGTCGATTCTATATTAATCGTTGCCGAATCTCCTTAAATCGATTGCTGAATATTAGCAGTTTTTACACCCTACTGTACGAATATAATAAATTTCCTATAACTGTACTAAAGTTGAAATAAAATAAGATCAATATAAAACAATTTACTTTATAAAATTCACATTACATATATACGACGCAGAAATCAAATCCACGCTTGTGCAAGAAACATACTGTACACGCTGTCACGACTCCATAAACTATTAACCTGTGTCAGTCTTCTGAATACAATTCAACAGGTTAATCATGGTTGTTACTCAAAGCAGTTATTCGTTACAAAAGTTGAAACATAGAAGCAAACTATGACATGAGATGAAGTAGACAAAAAAATAGGAAATAATAATAGGTTTTATCGAAAAATAAGTTCGTGCAGTCGTAAAAATCTAACACCGATAACAACTCTTGACAGTAAAAACACGTGGCTCGTGTTTGTAATACACTTTGATTTGATTTAGGATTCAAAGTATGGCATGAAGGATCGAGTTTCAAACTTTATCACAGTGAAATTTATAACAAACTTTATCAACTCATCAATAAAAGTCATCAACTCATCAACAAAAGTCATCAACTCATCAACAAACGTCATCAACTCATCAACAAACTTTATGAACTCCTCGAAAAACTTCATCAACACAAACTTTATTAACTCATCAGGGAGACGTCCAGCAAACTTGAGAAATAAAAATGTTGCGATTGCGTCATAAAATTCCGATTATTAAAGAAATGCTTGTAAAATTGCAGAAATATATAAGAAACTCAACCGCTAAAAAATAGTGACAAGTGTCAATCTTTCTGATCAACTTATTTCCTTCAATTCAATATCAAATTTGTTCCTAAATAATCAATCACAGTTATTTGTATCATATGAAATTTATTTACACAGCAGGAGCGAGTAAGATGTACAACAAATTAAAACAAGGTTCTTATTCAACTAGGGCCGTATGGCTAAATTATATTTTAACCTCAATCATCATAATCTTGATATTGAACAACATTCCAGGCACTGTCAATTAAACTAAATAGTGAGAAGAGTTTTCTAAATATTAACTAATATCATTTTTTAGTATTTTCTAGTATTCACCGAAAGCATTTGATGTTTATCACGAATGAATTGTTATGTTGACAAGGTTCAATTTCGACGCACTGACCAGTACCACTTCATTACATAATTTTTTGATGCAGTGAGGTGAGTGTCGGAACACAATTTCAAGATTGTAGGACGGAAGGACTGCGTGACACTTTGGTTGATCCAGCTGTAGCAAGTGCAGTGAGCTCACCGGTGGGCGGTAATCACACCCGCTGTACAGAAGACTGCAACGCGGTAGCAGTTATATAATTCACAGCTTCCACAACAAGGAAAGATGAACCAGTATAGGGAACAGATGCTCCAGGAGCGTCATGCCGCTATTTTCTCCCACCGTCCCAAATCATGCGCACTATGAGATATGGTTTGAATGTTGCTCACGAGGCTCCCAAGCTCCAGTTTTTGTTTCTGGTACCGGCGTCACGCTAGCAGGAGTGGAGGCTCTGGTGGCGGCCGAGGGAGAGGTACCGGAAGAGGAGGGAGATGGGCGAAGGCAGAAACAGAAATGGTGGCCAGGAACGCCGCCGCCTCTTCGGGACTGTCCCACAATAAGGAGACGCTGAGGGACGTGTGCAGGAGGGGCAGGTAAAGCCGTGCTGGACGGACTGGAGGGGGTCCCCGCTTTCCGGGCAGGTGCTGTTGGGGGAGCGTCCGACCCTGAATTAAGGTGTAGTACTCCAGGGAACTACAGTATCCCGAGCGGAGCTGGGATAGAGCAGTGCGGTGGGGGCAAGGAAGCGAGGCCTCTTCTGATGCAATCGGTGGTGGGGCAGCGCAGTCGAGCATCTGGCGCGTGATTGTCCGGTAGGTGGCGATGAGGTCCTCCTTGGATAAACCTCCGTTGGTGCCAGCCATGGCTTTTAGGATACGTAGAGAGCCCACCGCTCTAGTGGCTGTGGCTTCGACGTGTGGTGAAGACGTGTAGTGGGTATCCGAGGTGCGCCTAGAATTTTGGGAGTTTTATCCAGACTCTCTAGAGGGATACTGCCGTTGCAGATAGTGGCGGAAGGGGGTGAGCGGGATTAGTGGGTGTCAGTGGGGATGAACGTGACGAATGACTTGCACGGTGCTACTGCCAGTTTCTTGGAGGCAGACCAGTCGGAGGCGCCTCGAAGAAGCCTAGAAGGTCAGCCTCCGCAGCGTCAGGAATCGAGGAAGACCCGAAGATCGTGAGGTCGTCCACGTGTGAGTCCAGGAACTTGACTGCTGGACATATGCTGAAGATGGGGCGGTAGGATGACCTCTGGCTACCAGGTATACCGGGCCAAGCCCCAGTCAGTCAGCTTCAACGTTGCGCCCTCACCTGAAAATATTTTTAAATTCACTTTACAGGTCACTATTAAAGCTATTGTAAGTAAGGTGCATGACTGGATTTCAGCTCAAAACTTTACTGGGATCGCTGTGAATTATGAGTCCTATACTGAACTTTTTTTAGTACTGCCACTCTGTTCAACACAATCTGACTGATGCAATCAATGACGCAAAACTCATCTTTTTGCAAGACGAACTCATGCCAATTTATGGTAAAGTCACTCCTGTTTACGGCATCTTTGAAATAGCTGAAATACTCCTTAGAGTTGTGCAGCTTCACCTAAGGACAATTTGGCCTTGCTAACAAATGTCAGCAAGGCTGCTACGACTAGGTGATTATTGAAAGGAGCGTTGAATATTGGTTAGACATATTTTTAATAATATAATGGTAATGACAAATACAATTTAATAACTGATCATGTGTTGCACAGATTACATTGCACATTAAATTCACAATCAACTTACTGCTTGTCAAGGTATTTACTTGGTCCGGCTGCTCCCGAAGGAGTGAAAGTCGAGACAGGTAGGACCAATAGCTGAACCGCTCAATCCATCATCACCGTCGAGGTTGGAGCAACCGTCTCAACTCGCAAAAATAGCTGTAATAACAAGTAGCAGATCAGAAGCTATTTTTGGGGGGAATTATAGTAAAGGTCATGCATTTAGCTACCGTGAAGCAATTCATGTTCCTTAGGAACATATGACTTTTTATTGTTGTTGCCTAAATAAAATATGCATTCTTCACGACACCTCAAAAGTTGAATTTTAGTCTTGAGTGACTCTGATCTGTAATGGAATACAGTAAATGAAATCATGAGAAAAGTCAGGCGGTGAGACACTTCATGAGGTTAATAGCTATTGATGAGCACTTAGCATGATGTAAACTTTTTATATGAAGAAAAGTAAGGTCATTAGCCTCAACTTCTAAAGAAACTTGATATGATTAGATATATTTAGAGATTAAAGGCGAGATTAGGATTTAAGGTCGGACAATTCCTGTTCACACCTATTTAGGATTTGTGGTAACCTGCAAAAAAAGTTTTTTTTAATTAATAATGGAATTAGGGGCCACATGTAAGAAGTTATAGAATCATTATATCAACATATATAATTGTTGGTATTGATAATTGTTGAATCTGAAATCCTACTGTTTGTATCTGCCAAAATTGTAACTGAATTCAAATTGAAATGGCATATACATTTGATCATTGACTCAATTATTTCCGTCATTTCAGTAATCAAACAATCATATGCCTCAGTGATCAACAGAAAATAAGATTATATTAACCCATAATTTTCCTTGTAATGAAAAAAAAAATGCATGCAACAGTTATATTATCAAGTTTGGCCCTATATCTACAGACAGCAACTGAGTAGCAGATAAGAAATTTAGATTCATATCTCTGAAAATGATTCACAGCTCAAAAATTCTTCCTAGTGTCTTGAAGTGAAGTTATGATTATTTCAACATCAAACCTGCAAGATCACTCAGTTTATAAAAAAATATAAGCTATTTTATGAAAAAAATTCAGTTTCAGTCAATAGTTTGCAATATGAAATTTGTTAGTGTTCAAGTAGTAGTCCTCTAAATTCTAGACTGCGAGCAATAGCAATAAACACAAATCTTCAATCCAGTTTTTGATAAGAATGCAAAAATTATCCATACCTGCACCCACGAGTGGCAGTATGACATGCAAATTTATTTCATTTCGCTATAAAGTGGTGATATGTTGGCAGTTCAATAGAGTCAATGCATGCTGCGTAATTTTTTATGAGATGATTTACCTACAAGTAACAATTAATTTAAAATTCTGCTTCTTATATCAACATGATAGGCTAATCCCTTTCCCAACACTTCAACTCTGTTGCATGCTATAGCTTCCACAAAAAAAATAATTAAAGTTAAAAATAAATTAAAAATTGAATTATGTTTCTTGAGACAAATATTTCACATCCATTTACCAATTGCAAAGCAAATATAAATTTTTAAGCTCAATGGTGATATAAAAACTAAAATTTCAAGTTAAAAAAGTCAGACAATCAAAATAGTAAGTTACCAGAAGTCCATTCCACATCACTAACCTGAAATGTGTCCAGTAGGTTCAATTCAATTTTGAAAAGAGCTGCTCAGAAATGAAAGTTTTTGATTCTCCTGTGAATAAGTTTCTAAAATTACAAGACATGGTGACAGTCAAAACTTGGCCTATTCTTTAGCACTGACACTACTATGCTATACTAGTTGTAGCTGCTGAAGTGAACTGCAACGTTCAGATAAGAAAACAGATTGGTCGTCAACAACTGGAAAAGGTGTTCCTACACATCAGTACATAAATCAATTATTGAAATAATTATCAATTTATATCATTAAACAATAAACATCATACAGTGTCAGTGATGCAGAAGTTGTCATCCATATACCTACAGCCACACGCTACAGTATTGCCACTTATTAGTACTATTCCACCCTACGACTCAGTGACATGCTACAGCAACACACAGCCTAGGTTCAATTTTAATTTTGAAAAGAGCTGGTCAAAAATGAAAGTTTTTAAATCTACTGTGACCAAGTCTCTTAAATTAAAAGCCTTGGTGACAGTCAAAACTTAAACCTATTCTTCAACACTGACATCACTATGCTATACTAGCTAGTTGAGTAGTTGTAGCTGCTGAAGAAAACTTCAACATTTAGTTGAGAAAAATTGGTTTTCAACAAGTGGAAAGGGTGTTGTGGACTGAGAAGTACGTAAATAAATTATCGAAACAATTATCAATTTACGTCATTAGCTCATTACACATTAAACCATGATGCAGGAGTCGCCATCCATCCACGGTAATGACAGAGGTTAGAATTCCTCCCTAGTCACCAACAGGCTACAGCCTGCACACAAAGCCAGTGAAGCTGCTGCGCGCAAAACATGCTCCGAGAAAAAATATACGAAAACCAAACAAAACTGGTCAGAAATAAAATGGAATGTAAGTTGAACAAGAACATTTCGAAGCTTTTTGAAACGTTAAACAATTTTTATTAACTTGGCTGACTTGGCATGCAGCTATTCGATTTGAATGTCACTATAGAACCGACTCATTGACAGCAATGATCGAGACAACACAGCAATGGCTAACAACCGACACACATGGTTGACAACCGACATGACCAAGTTGACATTTCACTAATGTTTATTTAAGACTTACAAATAGTTTTTTCAAACTAATCGGACGATGGAATTTTACGTTGTATTCATTTTAGTAGTAATCACTTTCACAGCAGGCTGAACTATTATTAAACGAAAACTAACGACAACAGGCGCCTCAGCAAAGGTGGTGAAATCGGTGAGATGTTGCCACACGCAAGATGAAGATTGTAATTTTCGTTCTAAAGCTCGAGCAAAACGATATCGAGCTAAACGATTTGCATTTATAAATTTCTCGTTTACAAGAAGTCATTTGAGTTTATGATAGAGAACTGATATTTCATCCGATATATAAATCGTCTTTTGAATTATTTAATGAAACATAATTTTAACGTGATTTAGAAATGGGATGGCGACCAATAACAAACGACAACATAACATTTGGGAACTTGATAAAACTATGGAAGTGAAGTGAATGAGAATAATTGGAAGACCACGAATTTTTTGTTTAAACTCTGTCATTTAGGAATAATATATAATTGGCATATAATCGCTTAATATGAGTTTACACAATCATGAACACCTTTTATCATAAATTAAGGTGTATATCAAATTCTGATTCATTATTCTATTAGATTGAATAGCCAACCGACAAATTTGCGCATTAATTTTTTGGTTTGCTCTGAGAAGTTGCCTACACTCAAATACTTCGATCTGCAACGATAAATCCAAAGTCGATAGTTCGTTGTGCATCTGTATAGACTGATTAGGGAAATTCGACCTACAAATCTGCGAGTGGTCGGATCTGCATCGTATCTACAGTAACCCACACTATTCGACATCGTTACCCACATTGGCGATTGACTGGGAAGTGATAAATATGAATGTAAAAAATACGAAAGATAAATTGTTGAAATTTGAAGATGTTGATGAATATATATCAACAATTCGTGTTGCCAATACTTAATTTAATACAAATTAAAAACATATATCATATCATAGTGATGTCGGCGCTGAAGAATGGGCCTGATGTGGCCTGTCACCGATTCTTGTACTTTTCGTGACTTGTTGACAGGGGATCTAAAAACATGTTTTTTGACCGGATCTTGTCAAAACTGACGATAGTTTGGAATAGCTACTAGACTTCTACTAGGTTCGATATGGTGGTCAGGTTTTGAAGTCTGAACATATGTTTCTTCGTAGCTTCGCATAGTCTGTTCATGAACGCGTTCATACTCGGAGCGTCAACGATGTAATCAGGAAGCCTTTTCCACACGTCGGTGACACAACTCGAGAAGAAATGTTGTCGCGTGGATGAGTTACAACACAGTTTTTTAGTTTGCAGTCGTGGCCCCCTGGTGTTGGTTCTTGCTTCAAATTCTAGTAATCCTTCTGAAACTTTGTAAAAACCACGATTATACTTCTATATATCAATGATGTCCCCACGCAGACATAGATATAAGAGGTCTGGAAACGCGACAACCGGTAGCCTATTCATACGAGCAGCCGACAATACACCAATTTATACACTACTTTTTTAGTTAATGCAGACATTCCCCGAACAGGTGTTAGACTCATTTAAATTCCTGTCTGCAATTGCTGGAAACATAATAACAAATTCAGGAGAATGCATCTTTGTGGTGGGTAACATAACAAGTTATATCGATGGGCGGAGCGCCGTTGGCAAGCCAGTCTTTGAGATGGCAGACGACCTGTTAGTTCATTGCTAATCGGCAATCCGCATATTGTGCTTACTTCACTATTTAATTTTGTCCTTAAAAGACTAATAAAAACGGTTTCTAGGAGCAAATGTTTATTGGTGTTTAATGTGTTTTTAACTAACGCTTTTGACATTCGTATAACAACTTTCACACCTCACCACCATCATTCCCATTCATCGCCACGTTTTTAACCCCGATTATAAACGACAATAAATGTAAGCCTGAAGAGGTTTAATGAAGAAAATATATTCCTGTGGACGTAGACCTTAATGATGTAAAACCTGGCGTGAATCCTGTTAATCAATATCTACTTAACTGAATCATTCGTTAAATATACATTAGAATTTTTTAAAAATTATAACGACTATACTGCATTTTTTCCAAGTGTATACAAATATTTGATGACACTTTCCCCATATCTGGAGTGCAACAAATCAATTCGGCTAAGATTTGAATAAGTATCGCACAACTGTTCTCATTTCACCCTTACATTTCGCCCACATCATTTTGTATATGGTCTTATGATTTCACAATCCACTTGTTACGAACGAATTGGTCAAATCTAACCTCTTACATTTTTTCCAACCTCTTACAATTTGTGCCAGTCCTCTTACAATTTGTGCTCAATCCAACCTCTTATTTAGCCACTTATTTAGTTACTCCTCGAAAAAAGTGTTCGATGAATTAATCATGAAATATTCAGTATTTTTTGTTATACATCCGTATCATTCTAACAATTCATGGATGATTGTACAAAGAAATCTTTATGTATAGTTTTGAACGCTGGCTAAGAGATTGCAATTGATTGCATCTCGCAGCAGCGTATCTATGAAGAAGACTCAAGTAGTTTGGTTAATTTAAATAAAATATCAATTGTTCCGGAAAAAGAGTTGTAAAACGAACCCAACTTCACTTTCACGCGAAAACTGCCCAAATATAAAATAGAGACAGTAATCCGTATATATGTATGTTTCCTATTATTTATTTGCATTAAATTGCATTCTCGAACTCTCTCAAATTTGCATAAAATTGCATTTTTCTTAGCATAACTAATTCTCAGAAGCCAAGCACAAAAAACGAAGTCATGCTTCGTCTTGATCTCGAATGACCCGCAACCCAATAACACCTTTCTACGTTGGATAAATTGCCTTTCTACGTTGGATAAATTACTTTTCTACGTTGGATAAATTACTTTTCTGCGTTTCACTATACCTTTGTGCATTGTGTAGGCAAACGGTTTTCAGTGGCTTAAAAGAGATTTGCCTGCAATGTGCTATCGATTATTAAGACCTTACAAATCAGCGATGATTCATAGATGACTGTGGTTGTCCATCATTCCATCAAGCACTGGGGGCAGGGTTGTCCATCGTTCCATCAAGCACTGGGGGCAGGGTTGTCCATCGTTCCATCAAGCACTGGGGGCAGGATTGTCCATCATTCCATCAAGCACTGGGGGCAGGGTTGTCATCATTCCATCAAGCACTGGTGTTTTGTTGGCTTACTTCAGCCTACATCGTAATAGAATATAATTAAAGCTTTAGATGTGCTATCATGCGACCCTTATTACAGTATTATGCGGGGAGCTACTAGGCCGGCGTGGCTCCTAACACCCACCGCTTCAACTTCTCTTACTTTAGTGAGCAAATAAGTTGCTAATGATGAATATGGTTTCTGAAGATGGTGTATTCTCCCTGGGAAGGCCCCCTTCTCACCGTGCAGCTCTGAAATATTTATTTGCCGCTCATGATGAGCAGCAAAAACACAAGCATGAGCCGGAAAACGAAATAAATCCCGTGGAAACATCATACGGTATTCTCATTCAAATTTTATCGTTGTTATACTAATTCGTCGTATGCTTCACCTCATGAATGCCCAGCGATTTACAATGTCAGTTTTTTTTTTCTCTACCAAATAACGATGTTCAAGAATTATTCAAATGCCAACACAACAATAAGGCTCGATTGCTCGCTGCTACTATCCATTATAAAAATAGCAAATTAATTATAGATCAGGGCTAATTAATAATAAATACTACTACTATTATTATTGATTAGCAAAGCCATCGAAATACCGGTGTCATGTCAAATTGACGAGTATATTTTTAATTTCGGCTCAAATGTTTTTTTCTTTGTGCAAAAATAAATGAATTTTTTCAGGGCTAACTTCATTATAAACGCAGACCGGATACACTTTAATGGTTTTGTGAATTTTTTAAAGCTTGCATTTGTAAATAATGAGCAATAACTAGTGATAAAGATAAATGTAAAAGATGCGGAAGATAAATTGTTGAAATTTGAAGGAGTTGTTGATGAATATTTATCAACAACCCGTATTGCCAATACATAATTTAATACAAATTAAATACCTTTACCATATCATGTATCTTATCATATCATGACATCATATCATATCACAACATATC